CTTATGACCATTTTTCACACTTACGACTGTTGCAGCATCCTTGTGGTCACATGATCAAAATTCGTACACCTGGCAATTGGCATGTATGACGGTTGCAGTGTCCTGGACCATGTGATCACATTTTGCGACCTACTGACAAGTAAAGTCCATGGAGAAACCAGTTCCATGTAACAACCATGATACTAACTTAACAACTGCAGTGATTCATTTAACAATTGTGGCAAGAAAGATTTTAAACTGGGGCAAAACCTATTTAACCAGAATCTCTCAGGATGTATTTGTTAGGTTAGAACAGGGCTCCCCAAACTCTGGACCATGGCCCACTGCCGAGTCGTGACCTAATCGCCGTCAAGCCATGTGAGTGGCTGGCCATTGCACAGTTCGCACCTGCGCATGACTCCACTTCTGCAAGCCTCATTGAGGGCTCCTGCGATCCCACACGGACAAGCCTCATTTGTGGGTGGCTGTGGCCCTGCTTGCGCAAGTGTCGTTGCAAGTGCTCCTGTTCCCACTCGCATGACCCTCATTGCAGGCCCTTGCAGCGTCACGTGCGCGAGCGTCACTACATGTGACACTGCCCCTCCCACAAATCTGAGCAGCCAACCGGGAAAGGTTGTGGAATTCTGGATTAGAATATTATTATAGCTTTAGTTTGGCAAGATTCCGTCCGTTAGGTGTAAGCAAATTAAAGAATTGTACCTGATTGGATCTTGCTGTCTCATTTCTGGGCTTGATTAACATCTTGATTAACTAAAGCTATAACTTTTTAACCTAACTGATATCCTGTGGGGTTCTAGGTCATTGCTCAAAGTCTACCTCACTGCTCCTGCAGGTGCACATTCCACCACACCTGAGCACTTCCTGTAGCTTCTTCACTAAGTAACAGTGCAGTCGTAAAGCAACAGTGGTGCTTTACTATCATCTATCTGTTTTTCCAGGCAAATGTATCATTATTTTGAGTACCATTTGGCATGTTAGAACACCCAATAGTCAAATTATGTAGTCAATTATTTACCTTTCAGATCAAATATATTCTACATTGTCCTCCTGCATCTGAAATAAATAATATTGTGCAGTAAAAATGCAGAAGAATCCTATATGATAATTAAAATCACAATCTACTGAGACCTATAACATCCTGTGCAATTTGCTAACTTTAGTTCTACTTGTGTATTTGTGCTTTCTGCCATATAATAGCCCAAGAATATAAGACATGGAATTTGCCTTTGGGTTCCATAATGTTCTTACAGGGAACACCCCATTCCTTCACCAGGATACGCTGCTACCGGGAAAACAACTGAGGAAAAAAGAAACCACAGAAATTCAGTATAGGAAGAGTCTACCCTTATTACTATACAACTGGCAGCAAAATTATATTTCCAAAATAAACTTAAAAGAAATAATGCCACATCTGGCTAAGTATTTTGTTTATTTGATGGAATAAATACAATAAAATAGAAATACTATTCATAACAGAATATTAACATTTTGTATCATTTCCAGCACGAACTAGTGCAAAAATCTGAGACTCACCTAAACCTTGGACAGATAATCTCTTTCTGCCAAAGAAAGCTATATTCGGTAGACATGGAATGATCAACTCTTCTGCCAAAGTGAATTGACATGAATTGATCAACTATTTTTGTCCTTCATAATTGCTTCTTTGCTCCAAGAATGTTCAGGATTTTTGACATTTTGGCATCTCTTCAGCTAAAATTTGTTTAAATTCAGTATATGTTTCGGGTAAGCAAATGACCACAGTGCTGTGTTCCAGTTTAAACTGTCCACTTTCGAGAAGGTATCCCATTGGATGTGTTCAGGATGTAATCCATTGGAGAGTTTTTACCAGTGCAGGCATGCCTGCCTCCATCTACAAGTGTCCAAGGCTGAGTGCCATGTTAGCCCTGTGAGGCCTATCTGATAATACACACGAGCACCTTTAAATGAGTACATGGCTTACAGACGTAACCATCCCAGGTAGATATAATACATGTATGTGACCTCTTAATATGCTCACAAACACATTCTGGTACACAGATGCACATCATAGTATCTGTCCAGTCACACATGCACACAACCTCCATAAACTTACTTATAACTTATATACTTATATACTTAGTTAGATGAGTAATTTTGGAGCAGCACAGCTATTTTGAACATTTTCTTTGTGACTCTGAGCACCATATAATAAAAAGAAATAACAATAAACTATTTTTAAAAATGCAGCAATTTAAACCCAAAATTGCTAAGAATGGGGTTGCAGGTAATCCTTGAGTTACGAACGGAAATGGAACCTGCCAATTACATTCATAACCAAAGGATTCATTGAAGTGAATCATGTAAAGTGAACTCCCTGCTTTTACACACGCATTCGCTAATCAAATGTGCAGATCATTATGTGCACAAGTTATCTCTGGGTGAGGAAAGCTGTAGGGGGCATAGCAGAGGTGGGTTGCTCCTGGTTTGGGGGAACCGGTAGTGATAATTGGGCATGGGTTGCCAAAGTGGTAGTGATGGCTGGCTGGCCACGCCCCTGAACTGTCTCGCTCCGACGCTCGCCCTGCCTCGTCTTCACCATGTGCATCCACACAACTGCCTCTTACTGCCTACACACAGGTGAGCAGCATGGGCTGCTCAGGGAGCCCCGAGGTTTCACAACAAACAAAAGCACGCACTCCTGTGTTCAGCTCGGCGCAGCTCGGGTTGCTGCTTTCTTTGGCCTTTTAAAAAAAGTTTTACAGCGTATTTTATTTCCTATCTCCAGTCTGAAACATAAATTTGCCAAGCCACGCCCACAGAACCGGTAGTAAAAAAATTGAAGCCCAGCCCTGAGCTAGGATACCTGTCCAAAAACTAGAAAAAAGTCTAATGATACATGGTGTCTTTTGAGGTTCATGGAACAGTAATGCAACCTCAAGTTAAGGACGGCCTCATTAATACTTGGAGATCATCTTGGCTTAAAAACGCCCAGGGTAAGATTCATTTACAGATGAATCTTCTCTATAGAAAGCCTGTGCGGCTCTGATGTGGCCTGCAAGCAGAGCTGGCAGCAGCTTCGGACAGTGAGGAGGGTTGGGGAGGAAGATGGGCCAGTCCTGGAGTCTGGGGAAGGCTCTGAGGAGGGCTCTGTGTCGGAGGCAGAGGAGGGGCCCAGGGCCATCTGATAGTTATCAGCTGCCTTCAGAGTCAGACATCAGTGGGGCAGAAGAACAGGTGGAGCCTGTTCCC